GTGATTTTGTATAATGAATATACTTTTTAACGAGTTAAAATGTTCAGGGAGGATGAAGATAATTGGCATCTCGAGATTCTATTTGCAGAACCTCCATCGATGGAGTATGTATTTCTAAAATACTTATTTTATGTTATAATAAATTTTTAATTTGTATGTTAAGCATTGTAATTTTATATATCACATTGACTTGCCTCGTGATCTACTTATTAATATTCTCGATCGTCTATCGATAGAGAATTTGAAGAACACGATGCCGTGTAATCGCACATTTCGAAGCATCTCTCGTCTATTTCTAGTGCAACGAGCATTATCACGTCTAGCTGAGGGAGTTTATATTTTGTTCCCCAATAAAAACCGGACTGTAAGCATATAGTTATAATTAATTATAACATTTATGTTATAAACACTTAATACATTTTTTGTTTTATTGTAGGTTGGGCATGCCGTGACGATTGAAAATGGAATACGAGATATGGGGCTGACAGTTCGTACAACTGTCAGCAGGGATGTAGAAATCGTGCAAGTGTTGTGGGCCCCGGGTAATAAAAAAAATACATTTAATAAGAAGTCATGATTTGAGTTTTTGAATTTCTTGTTTTTATCATCCTTGGAATCGAAATATGAATTAAATTTTATTGGTTTTAGCACGATGATCCAGTTGAGTTTCAAAAGTGTAATTAATCCATTTACTTTTTTCTATTGCAGAGGTAATGGCTATGGATAAAGATGACATCAATATGGAGTTGATGGATTTAGAAGAGATGATGTTAATGGAGGGGTTAGGAACTTCTTATTTTTGGCATAGGAAGTGATCGAATTGGAGAATGATGTCTGAATTAAAGTTCCTAACCCCTCCATTAACATCATCTCTTCTAAATTCATCAACTCCATATTGATGTCATCTTTATCCATAGCCATTACCTCTGCAATAGAAAAAAGTAAATTGATTAATTACACTTTTGAAACTCAACTGGATCATCGTGCTAAAACCAATAAAATTTAATTCATATTTTATCCATAGCCATTACCTCTGCAATGGAACTTCTTATTTTTGGCATAGGAAGTGATCGAATTGGAGAATGATGTCTGAATTAAAGTTCCTAACCCCTCCATTAACATCATCTCCATATTGATGTCATCTTTATCCATAGCCATTACCTCTGCAATAGAAAAAAGTAAATGGATTAATTACACTTTTGAAACTCAACTGGATCATTGTGCTAAAATCAATAAAATTTAATTCATATTTCGATTCCAAGGATGATAAAAACAAGAAATTCAAAAACTCAAATCATGACTTCTTATTAAATGTATTTTTTTTATTACCCGGGGCCCACAACACTTGCACGATTTCTACATCCCTGCTGACAGTTGTACGAACTGTCAGCCCCATATCTCGTATTCCATTTTCAATCGTCACGGCATGCCCAACCTACAATAAAACAAAAAATGTATTAAGTGTTTATAACATAAATGTTATAATTAATTATAACTATATGCTTACAGTCCGGTTTTTATTGGGGAACAAAATATAAACTCCCTCAGCTAGACGTGATAATGCTCGTTGCACTAGAAATAGACGAGAGATGCTTCGAAATGTGCGATTACACGGCATCGTGTTCTTCAAATTCTCTATCGATAGACGATCGAGAATATTAATAAGTAGATCACGAGGCAAGTCAATGTGATATATAAAATTACAATGCTTAACATACAAATTAAAAATTTATTATAACATAAAATAAGTATTTTAGAAATACATACTCCATCGATGGAGGTTCTGCAAATAGAATCTCGAGATGCCAATTATCTTCATCCTCCCTGAACATTTTAACTCGTTAAAAAGTATATTCATTATACAAAATCACCAAAATCACATCTATCGACAAAAATAAGTTAAAAAGCATTAAACCCCACAAAAAAAAAAAAAAAGTCTACAAGTCCCAATTAACGTCTTCCTAGTCCCCTAAACATTTTTATTACATTAAAAATTTAATGCATACCAAAAATTACTTAAACAAAAGCAAAAACTCACAAAATAAATGTTACTACTAATCATTTTCAGAAAACCTGTGACTATAGGAGGCGTAGATATAAATTATAATTATGAAATTCTTTAAATTAGAATTATCATATGCAAATACAAGAAGCTAACAAAATTTGAAAATACAATGTAAAGATTTTTCAGTATATTTACACATAAAACTTATCACATTCATTTATGTATCATGTAAATATATTACGGTCATTACTTTCTCTATGTATAATTAATTTTACAATTTATCTTCCTAACCATCATTTTTCTATTTCTTAACAAGAAACAAAATGTCAATTTTCTCTCTCCAAAATTTAAGATCATTACTTTTTCTAATGCTCTCATGGTGGGTCTTATACTTATTCAAGTAGCTATTGCTAAAGGTACCGATATTCATTTCTCTCTGGACTGAATTCTTGCATTAGGTTTTATTTATCCATTTTTTCCAATTTCTCAACGTCATTGACTGTTACACTGTCTGTTCAAATGGGTTGTGTCTGTTCAAGACACAACTTTTCAACTTCTATAAACAGGTGGGCATGCAAGATTTTATTCATTCCAAAATCAATCCCGATTCTCTCTTACAAATTATATTCCTCGTGTTATGCATTATTCCATATTGTGCATTTCAGTCCTGAATACTATTTTTGTGCATTATACCATTTTTCAGAGAGATCAAAACATTAGTAGGTTCGTCAGGTCTTGTAATTTGAAGTGTTACTATTATAAGTTGAGGATGTTGTATCTTGGGAGACAAGTGCGGGAAGATCGTCGCACCAGTGCGGGGCATTACAGGGAGGATGTGGCACAATTTCATAGGGCAATGGCAATAAATAAATAAAAATCAACCACACGGTGTTGCCAGCGCAATACTTGTAAAGTCCATGTACATTATTTCCCTGTACATTTAGAAAAATTCATAAAATCCTAATTCAATAGGATTATTTTTTGGATCATGCTTGTTGTACATCACATGATCCATAAGCATAATCCTTATTTTTTAGTACATGATATTTGTAATTAAATTTTACTTTTCGGATGGTAAATTGAATTTGATTAATGAGTTCGGTTAGTTAGAAAGAATGAATTTGACTTGTTTGATAAAATTAAATAATTTAAAAGTAAAAACTTGAAATGTAAGTGGAGTATATTTTTCCCCTTTTATATTAAGGTCGAAGTTAATAGCTTGCTAATTCAAGAGATAATTGTTTATACGTTCAACAACATGGAACCCGCCTCTCTTTATTAAGTTCTTGAATCAAGTTAGAAAGATATTTTTTTCCCTTTTTACATTAAGGTCGAACTTAATAGCTTGCTAATTAAAGAGATAATTGTTTATCCGTCGATGGAACCCACCTCTCTTTATTAAGTTCTTGAATCGAGTTAGAAAGACATATCTCTGACTTTTGTGGTTGAGATAAGAGCATGTTTGGTTAAACTTAAAAGAAAAAGTAGAAGTTATTTGAAGTAATTTTTAAAATATACTTGGATAATCGGCTGCAAGATAGGGACTTATCAGAACTTAGGGATGAAACATTAATCTCACTAAATAAAATGTTATCCGTATACACAATGAATGGATTTACAGACTAAAATGTAAGCATTCATATGTCCAGTGCAAAAGATAACTAGGTCAGTAGAGCACTAAATGCATCCAAAAATATGTTATAATTTGAAATATTTCTTATAAATTTGAAAATCGAGGTGAATGTGAAATTGAATGCTGCTGAAATACAAGTAAACCAACTGAAGAATGAACTCTATGAGTATGTTTCTCGGGTGGCAGCCTTACTAAGCGAATTGATCAGTCCAATGAACACTAACGGGTCGCCTCTGAGGTGTTGGAGGGGGCCAATAAGGATAAAGTTGAGCTGAGAATGTTAACTGAAGCCTAGAATGAGGAAATAGAATCTCTGAAGGCTGAAGTGAAGACAATAGGCGAGGTTTCTGTGCAAAACTATATCGACAACTTCGATCTAACGAAGGAGTATGATGACTTCGCCAACTACTGAGCTTCATGGAATGCCCAGCAGATGTTAGCTCGCCTGATGAGGTCCATCCAGAGCTAGACATTGGCTTCCTTAAGGATGAGTTCAAAAGACCTACCGGAGGTCGTCTTGACATTGAAGTCGAAGAAGAATAGGTGGGGGGCGAGCCCGTCATAGTTCTATATCCTTGATCATTTCATTTTATTTTATTTTTGGTAATAGATTCGGTCAATTTTGATGAATGCAGTTACATCTTTTTCTTAACTGAGACGTGTGTAATCACCTTGTTTAAACGAATGAAATTAGAGTGTAAACAACTCGCTTGAACGAATGAAATGAAAGTGTATACACCTCGCTTAAACAAATGAAATTAGTGTAGACACCTCTCTTAAATGAATGGACATCCTTAACAGAGGTGGCCCGTGGAAGGCAACACGACACGCACCTCTCCGTGGGCGTCGCGTAGGGAAAAATAGTGATGTGACAACCGATTCATTTCATTAAAAATTTTTTTTACATGGTTGAGGTTACACCGTTTTGAAAGTTCCCTTACTGATAATATCTTCTCAGATGCTCAATGTTCCAAAGGGTTTTTACATGTGTTTGAATTACTTGGTATAAGCTTAAATGCCAAAACACTCATCTAGTGGAGAATCATCACGTGGATAGATTTTTGATATTGCCGGTTAGGTCCAACCAAACTAGAGTAGGGAAAGAAAATATTTGACTATAAAAGGGTCGGGTTGAAGTCAATTTGAAAATTTTTCCGTCTTGACAACCTTTTCATAATGTAGATAACGATTGAAAGTGGTCATGCACACACGCACCGATTGAACATTGGATAAACATAAATTATTTTTACTAGCATTATTTGGAGCATATTTGTGAATTGATTATACAATTTTACACGTGTTGATTATTATGGCAATCTATCTAATGTTGTTAATATTTATAATGTATTACTTGATTGTGTTAATAGATAATCTTGCTCGTCCCGAGCAAGAATTTAAGTTTAGGAGTATTTGATAAGTGTGTTTTTCCACACTTATTTAATACCTAAATATACTTATTATTGATAAAAATGAGCGAATTTCTACGCAAAATTGTGTAATTATTACTTTTGTATGTAAAAATCACCCAAAGAAAAGAGAATGAAACAAAAGGAGGGGAAAATGGATTAAAAGAGTACAAAATTGTGAATTTGAGGACCAAATTGTACAAGATCAAAGTTGAGGGACCTAACATGCAATTATATGTGGGACTTGGCTGCAAATAAAACCAATTTATGGTTTTGGACAGAAACTTGGCACCTAGGCCCACTTTTAAAAACTTGGGGACCGTTTTGTTTATTTTGTGTAATTCCAGGACTTAGGTGGCAAATCTTTGAATATTAAAAAACAATTCAATATCTGATTGGACAGACATGTTTACATTGATTTTCTTGAGAAGAAACCAATACAACCATAACACCATTCAGACATAAGTTTGGTTGCAACTTGCAATAACCAACCTATCAAAGATGGGTAATTCCCCACGTACAGCCTCAGTTTTCTGTAGCCGACCCCACCCCAATGTTTAAAAAAAAAAAAACAATTAGCCCCTGCCCCACCTACATCAAAGATTTTCTCTTCTACATTTGCTTTTCCCCCTAAGCTACAGAAATTCCATGGGAAAACTTAAAACAATCAAACCACCATGAGAAAAAAAAATGGAACACAAATTAAATCTAAAGAACTGCAACACTACCATCAAACCCATGATGTAGCGTTTCCCTTCTAAGTGCCTCATT